CCCTTACATTCCCATTGCTCCACCAGTGACCTGTAGGTTACATGTTCACCAGCTCAAGTGTTAACACGGTTCTGCAGCTGTTCACAGGGTGATGGGTCAGGTCACATGGGTTGTCTTCTTGATATCTCAATCCTCTGGAGCATCTCAGGTTAATAGGCTAATTGCTGAGATTCAGACTCGAGCTACACCCCAATAAGAAGCCAGGTCGTCTGCGCTGAAGTGATTTGATCTGACCCGACTGTTGTGAGGTTATAAGCTACAGGGTGGAAATTTATAAAACATTATTGGGTGCCTATATCAGTCTGCTTTAAACATGACTACAGTTCATATAGTTTGTGGTTTAAGGTTAGCATCAAGCAAAACTATTTAAAGATTTAAAAGCAATCTCATTTTAATCCAGTATTAATTCTTAAAATGTGTTCAGTGATGGATGTTAGGCACTGCAATAGGCCCAAATGTATTATTCCCCAATGAATAGAAGCAAAATAGGAATTGAATCTGTAGCAGGCCGTTTAATGTCAACTCAGTCCAGGACAGCCGCTGAATTGTTCAGGATTCATTTGTCTTCTGTTCATTCAGCAGGACCAGTCGGAAATGAACGAATGAGTGGACTCATTAGTCGTGCGAGGCTGGTGTGGGACGGGGGTTCATTAATGTGCTCCGTAATGTGGCCAGCAGAATGAGTGATGCGATTAGCGGCTGCTACACACACAAGCACATACTCGTTGAACCTTTGACCCTTGTTTGCTTCAGTCTGACCCACAGTGAGGAAGTGTGATGGGGGAGGGGAAATTCGAGAGCAATCTGCAGCCTCGTATGATTAGGTTTATTCATGTATTTGTTCATAATTGAAGTTAGGTTTATGAATGTACAATAGCACATTTGTGTGTATTGTTAATGAGTAATGCATATAAATCTTGACAGAACATATGATGTTTGTGTGAATTTCAGAAACATGTCCACATTTCACTCCAGAGTTAAAATAAGAAATTGTAAGAGTTGTACGAAATTGTGTTTTAAAATAATGCTATTATTTGGGTAATTTAGCATTTTGACATTTTCATGCAATCAGGCATATTTGACACAAATTCTCATTGTCATAATAAACAGTAGAAGATAATTATCATTACTTTATAATTATTGTATATAAATTCATGCTTTACTTTTTGGGGTCGATTTTATGTTTTGGGTCAAAAATACAATAAAAACTGTAATGCTGTGAAATATTAATTTAACATAACCATTTTCTGTTTTAATAGTTTTTTTTTTTTAAAAAAAAAACTATTATAATAAAATTATTAAATATATAATAATTTATTTTTAACAATTTAATAATAATTAATTTAATAATTATATATATATATATAATAGCAGTTTAATAAATACTGCCTTGCCTTGATATCTAAATACTTTACAAGTCATATATGAGTGTCTTTGTTGCTTGCTCACACTTTCATGGTCTTTCTCTCATTCTTTCTCTCTCTTGTTCAAAAATCTCTTCTTATTTAATAACTCCGTTTCCTATCTGCTATTTACATTCATTACATTGTCTCTCTTGTTCACTTCTTCTCTCTGCATCATCTCGTCACTGTAGTGTTGGTCCGTGTGGCCACTCTGCTGCCATCTACCAAAAATCCAGTGCTCTGCTGTTTAGATGTAGAGAAAACTGTTGCCGGTGTACGTGAAGCGATGCCGGTTTCAGATTGTCTGAAGTCTGAAGTTACTGTTGTTATCTCGAGTCATTACTTCTTCAATATCGGGAAGATCAGGAACCTATTACCTGGAAACAGTGAGGCTAGGCTATATTTTCAGACATGTTTTGTTGTCTGTTCCCTTCTGATACCTGATAAGCCCTGAAAAATAATCATCTGTGAGAGAGAAAAAGGTTAGGCTTGGAGGAACCTACTGATGCGCTGATACAGATTGATTCCATGGCTGTGTGCGTTCTTCCTTCTTTTTAGTCTTTTGTTTTGAGTGACCTTAAAACTCACCCACGATTCACCTTCCTGTCACTAAAGAACAGATCGTTGGTACCACAGTGTCCTTTTGAAGTTTCTCTTCTAAAAAACTGCTCATGTTATTTTTTCCCCCAGATTCCTTAGTTCTTTTTCCACAGAATGTGAATTCCCAACCACATTTAGAGCTCTTCCAGCTCTGGGAAAAGAATAGCTGTCTGATTTTCTCCAAGCGCAATGTCTCTATTTGTTGAAGTGGTTTGTTGTATTTCTGTGGTTTGGATGCTGAAATGATGGATTTTTAGACGTTAGTGAAATATCCAGTTACCCTGCATGCATAGCTTGAAGGACAGCGGCACAGCTGTGAAATGAGATTCATTTTGGTGAGATAATATGTTGGGAACGCTCATCTCCTGCATGAGGCACTTCAGATGTGAGATGGAGGTCATTTCTTTGTCTTCTGTCATTGGTGAGGAAATGAGTAATTAATGTCAAATCTATACGATAAATGAAATTGTTAGCCTACGGAAACCCCAATTTAAACCTAGAATGATTAGTTTTACACAGGTTGTAACCTTGTGTGTGTTAGCTGTAGTTTAATCTGGAAGCTGTTTAAATCTGACAGACATCCAGGAGTGTTCTCATTTGAAGAAAAAAAAAAAGTAATTTTATTCACTAAAATAATAAGCTAATTATAATAACAAAATATATCAAATAAAATAATAATAATAATAATAGTTTATTATTATTATTATTATTATAGTAAAAATATTTTTATCCTAAAAATAATGTATGTATAGAGTTTTAGAATTTTGTATAAATAGAATGTATTATTATTATTACTATTATTAAATTACATATTCAATTTATTCTTTGGTACAAAAAAATTTTAGGATTTTAGAATGTTGGTTAAAATGTGAATATATGATACAAGTATAAAATGTTTTCATTTAGCTTGTGTGTGTGTATATTTTTGTTTCTATGGACTACAAGAGAAGTGCATCTGCGTCTAGATGACTGTCGCTTCAGTCATTGGAGTCATATTGTGAACCGTTATTAAATGTGCTTCACCCTGTCCTGTTCGACTGCAGTGGAGCTCACTTACACACACACACACACACACACACACCATTACATCATCCAGCTGCAGAAGTGAGAACCTAATTTGCCCTACCGTACTGCGGCCTGTCTCTCTCAGACCCTGAGGGGAAGAGTGTGGGCTTTCTTCCTCACACACCCATGCATGCAAACAGATACCGAGATACGGAAGAGAACCTAAACCCTGGTCTTCTCAGGCGCTCAGCGGGGTTTAGAGAAAACCGTACTGTTACTGAAACTCAGCCCTTCCGTCCGGTAGCACTGTGTAATTCTCCCAGCCTCCATATTTAACCATAACTGACAATTCTGTTCAGATTATCCTAACTGTTCACTCCTGGAGAACACTGCATAAAATTGCTAAAGTATTTTAAATAAATAATAAAAAATATTTATTATTGTTTTAAAAATATGCATACAATTAAATATATAATTATATATATTTTTTTTACATTGTTTTATTTAAACATTATTTAAATTTTTTTTATATTTTCTATGTTATGACTTGATACATGTTAACTTATTTATATGTAAATTATAAATAATAAATTACTTAATGTTTATTATATAAATAATTTAATATCATTAATAATAGTAATGTTAATTGTAATATATAATATTACAACTTGAAGTTCAGCTATTACTATATATAATCCTGTATGACTCTCCTAGAGTGCAAAAGAAGAGGTTTAGCAGAATGTCTGAGCTGCTGTATTCCATACAATGAAAGTTTATTGGGACTAGGGACTTTAAATGCATCATTAAAGTGGTCTACGCAACTCATGCTTTGTGTTCTATTACTTTTGAAGCCATATGATTAGGGTTAAAAAATCTTTATTGAAAATTTTGCGGATTTCTACCTCATTCTAATGTAAATAACTCCTGTCATCCACAGAGGAAAGTCATACAGGTTTCGAAAGACATAAGGGTGAATGATTTGATGTCTTGTACATTTTTGGATGAGATATTTCTGTAAATTGCTGCAAATAATCTGCAGAAGCGTCCATGTTTTCATTAGATCACGTGGTCTGATGTGCACAGTAGCAGTGGTGGAAAAACAAACCTTCCAGTGGGATGCATGGAAAAAAAGAGAAGGGGAGGGAAAAAGAAAGGTGTTCATTTGTACAGTGAGTGGCGCTGAGACACCACAGGGAAGCATTGCAGGAAAATGGATAAAAGACATCATCTCTATAATATCTCAGCTGTGTGTGTTAGTGTAGGAGGGATCGGCTCCTTCAACCATATTTCATGCTTAATTAGCAGCCCTGGGATGGAGGGATAGTAGGAGTGGAATTAAAGACAGCATGTCTCAACTGAACCATCCATGTCGGTAATGCTTTACTAGCGAGTATTGTGCCATACCCGATTCTTCCAGCATTTGTCCTGCTCTGAAATAGGTACTTGCAGATCATGAACATGATTTCTTTCAGCTAATCCAGGCAAGAAATTAGAGGAAAAAGGTAAATTATGTAATCCAAGCAAGGTTATGTTTTCGCGCTCTGAGAGACCAAAGTCAGTCTGCTGGCTATACATGACTAACTCAACTTTGGCACAGACTCGCCAAACCTAGTCAACTCAAACCTGTGAATCATAAAAACAAATGAACAGAAGTGATGCTTCATCCAGGTTGCTGCTGATCTCATGCAAAGCGCTTGAACGAGGTCCAGCGCTCGAGGCGGTATCTGCTCATGCCAAGAACAGAAGAACAAATGATGATGTTTCTGGACTGTCTTTACATTCAGTTAAATACATGTAAAAGAGTCTGAAAAGGAGAATGTGAAATTGATATTCATGGGCCTTAAATGCACCAGATGCAAACTCAAATTTCCCATTTGAGCACGATAGCTCAAGAAAACCGAGCATGCACAGTATGCTAACCGCTAGACCAAGGCTCTGATGATGATATGCTTGCATGGATTCTAAATTCTGTTCTGTCGTTTTGTTTTTCAGGTTTTCGTAGGAATGAAGAGATGAAGGCAATGGAAGTTTTGCCCATTCTAAAGGAAAAAGTGGCCTTCTTGTCAGGTGTGTTGTTGATTTGAGTGCTATTGTTGCTATAACTATGTGTCTTTTATATGTCTAGTGGTCATAACATACTTTCTCAGAAGGAAGTGCTCTACATATGGTCAACAAGAGGGTGTATCTTCAGTATTTCCAGTACAGAAAAGCAATGTTTTAGTTTGAAAAATTGAAAAATGCTCATACCTGTACACAGGAATAATCCAAAAGGATAGTATGGAAGCCAGTTCCCATCTAGACTAAAAATATAGATAAAAAAAAAATTGTTAGTCACATTGTGGTGTATAAAGCTGCAATTCCAAGAAATATAGTCACAGCTTTTATTTTATTTGTTTTTAAAAAGGCAAAAAAGGCTTCCATAGGATCAGGATATGACCTGAACTGGAAATTTTGGATCACATCAGTGTTATTTTAATATTACTTACTTATTATTGTAGTATTTATTAATATTTTGAATTGGCTTTAATTTTTGATTTTCAGTTTTTAATTTTAGTTTATCATTTTGTACAAGTTTGTAATTTTGTTATGTGCTTTTGTCATTTGTATTAGTTTTTGTTTTAAATATTTCTATTTCGCTTCAATTTATCACTATTTTAGTTTGAGCAGTTTTAGTCTTTAAATTTAAATACTTATTTTATTTCAGGTAGTTGCCAAAGCAACATTTCTAAATTTTATTTAAGATTTAGTTGTTGTTAAAAAATTTTTTTTTTAAATCAGGTTTATGTCAATTATAACAACCCTTGATCACAATCACAGGACCACATGTTTTTGACCCAAAATAATACTGAATATTACTGTAACCTCCCAAAATATTTTTAGTTGGTGTGTCATTGTGATTTGATTTAGACTGTAAAAAGCTCTCCTTCTCACTTGCTCTCTGAGCTTCTGTTTGGCAATTTTAGTCGTACGACTAACAGACCAGCACTAAAATGACTCCGAAACAAAAGCTGCATCTCCATAGGGATGAGCAACCGTCACACACATGTACCATGATACAACAACAAGCACGATCAACAGGCATGAGAGTGTGCCTAAAAAATAAAGAACTGAGCAGAGGAACTGAATCTGCAGAGCCCCAAGTGTGAACACCCAGCGATTTCTACATAAGCATGCAATTATGTGCTTTTTATTTATTTATATTCCTTAACGTCAGAGGATAAGATGGATTATCCTATTACAAACACACTCCATTAGTGAGATTCAGCATATTTGCTGGAGAAAATCCTCATGGATATCCCAGCTGCTCAGTGAGTTTGTTGTGCTGGAGTTGAAGCCTTTTGGCTTAGTAACACAACCTGTATGAACTGGAGCCGTGAGAGGAGGATCAGTGGGAGCAACACATTGATTACTTATTTCTCAATGCTAATGAACTGGGGTTTGGTTTATGACTATGACCTGGGTGATTCAAGAAATTGTTATTGGTTAAAGTTGAATTGTGATGTATTTGTGCAGGTCTACATTATCTTCACTGTTGGTCCACAGTTGTATTTTTAAAGGCATATTTCACCTAAAAATTAAAATTTTGTCATAATTTGCTCACCCTCATGTCGTTCCAAACCTGTATGAGTTTCTTTCTTATGTTGAACATAAAAGAAGATATTTTGAAGAATGCTGGTAATCAAACAGTTGATGGTCCCCATTGACTTCTATAGTAAGGAAAGAAATACTATGGAAGTTTGGTTCTTCAAATTTCTTCAAAATATTATCTTTTGTTTTCATCATATAGAAACTTACACAGGTTTGGAACGACGTGAGGGTGAGTAAATGATGACAAATTTTTCATTTTTGGGTGAACTATCCCTTTAAGTTGTGGGAGCTACGATCCAATGGTTCAACAGTAAAGATACTGTAGACCTCCACAAATACATCAGAATACGGTTTTATCCACTACTTATACCAATAGCAATTCCTTAAATCATCCAGGTCTTTGTCATACACCAGACCCAAGTTCATTAGCTTTGAGAAATGAGAAGTCGCTTGAGAAATTAAGCCATGGCGCTCAGACGGGCAGAATGATTTTTTTTTTTATTGCGCGCACAACTTTCATAGTCCTAAATAAAATCTAAATGAAATTGTTTTAAAGGGGTCACTTGACGTTGCTAAAAAAGAACATTATTTTGTGTATTTGCTGTAATGAAATGTGTTTATGTTCAGGTTGTGTTAAGGTTCAAAAACACATTATTTTCCACATACTGTACATTATTGTTTCTCCTCTATGCCCCACTGGCATTATAGGCTACTCTCCCAGGAAACAGTCCTCGTTCTCCGTAAAATGCTTTGCACACATCTGAATATTTGGGTTAAACTGTTCTGGAACAGTGTATGAAGTAAAAATAAATTGGAACAATTTCATATATTAACTTATATATCTAGCCCATACAAGTATGTATATTTATGTATGTGTATTAAGTAAATATAAAAGATAGACATGTTTTTTTAAAGGGGTCCTATTATGCTCTTTTACGAAGTCTTGATTTTGTTTTGGGGTTGTACTAGAACAGGCTCTCATACTAGGTTGTTCGAAAAACACCTCTCTCCCCAGTCTGGCATGAACGGCTCGAATAGTTCCTGTATCAAATGAAGGCCCGCCTTCTGAAATACGAAATGTGCTGTGATTGGTTAGCTGGGCCAGTGTGTGTTGGCAGCACTTGGCGCCTGGTCAGGAAATGTCATGCCGCTTGCCATAGCCGCCTGCTGCGAGCTTCAGCACTCCAAAGAGAAAGAAAAACTTGAAATCGCATCATATGACCCCTTTAAAATTTGTTGGCTTTGTTACAAAGTGAAGTTTGATAGCTTTAGCTGAAAAGCTTCAAACAAAAATGAAATTTACTCACCCTCATGTCTGTCCAAACCTGTATGACTTTTTTTCTTCTGTGGAACATAAAAGAATAATTTATTTTTTGTCCATGCAATGAAAGTCAGTGGGATTGAAAGTCCAATGTTGTTTTGGAACTCATTGACTTTCATTATATGGTCAAAAACTATCTAAAAAAAATCTTCTCTTTTCCACAGAAGAAAAAAAAAAAGGTTTGAAATGATGCGAGTATGAGTTAAACAGCAACATTACAGACTAACTAAAGTTGAAAAAGTGAAAAAGCATAATAGTACCCCTTTAAATTATGACAGTATTTATTAGAAAAACAAATCTAGGTAAGCCAGTCAGCCTCACAAGTCAGCTAGTTGGTTGTTGGGTGACTACTTGACCATCCTGGCCCACTGGTCTTGACTCGTTTGGATAAAACTAAATTGTACATAAATGTACAGATTTCTGAACTTAAATTTAGATTTATTCAGTCCATTTTCCTTAGCACACTTATAAACTGAACATTTTTCCCCGACACTAAAAAGTTCTTTCAGAGACACTTATTTCACGTATCTAACCTCTTGAAAAGTGATTCAGAAGAGATTTACAGTTATGATATCAAATCATGTAACAGGGTCTCGTCTTGAATGATCTCACAGTTACTCCGAAAAACGTTATGTGCTGTCATTCAGTATTCTCTAAAGAAAGACACTGCTCTGAAAAACATTGATTTGATTTAACGGTAACATGATTATTTCGATAATGACTGACTGCCTGATACTGTCAACAACAGGTTTTGAATCTGACTCTCCAGTCCAGCAATGTGCTGCTTTTTACAGCTCCAGTGTTTTTCATTCTTGGTCCAGTAGGAAAAACAAGGCTGTACAACATATTGAATGGACTGTACTTCCTGCCCTTTTAGTTTAGTTTGTGCCATATGCTGTTTTGTATGCCGTCTACTCTGAGTATAGCCTGATAAAGACATTAAATACCAAATTACCCAAGTGAAAGGTAAATGTGCACCAAAATACAGAGTATTTGATGTTGGGATTATGGGATATAAGAGGCATTTTCAATAAGTAAAGCCTATTTCAGTTTTTATTCGCTGATTTAATGTCTTTCCCTTTCTGTCGACCTTCTTTATCACTCCTGCATTGTTATTTCTCCAGGGGGCAGGGACAAGCGCGGCGGTCCAGTTTTAACATTCCCATCACGAACCAACCATGACCGAATACGACACGAGGATCTCCGCCGACTCATCGCCTACCTCGCCGGCATCCCTAGGTATTGACACACTCACTGGCTTCTCAGCTAGAACAAGCTCTGCCCACCAGGAGCATATGAACTCCTTCAGTATGTTTTAAAAAACATCCCAGGATGCACCTGCTGGGCATTGTTGACTGCTTTTCTTTCACTATCCGGTCAGACTCATTCCTTTAAAAAGAACAAAAGCGACTGGATTGGATCTGGCAAATTGTGCAGTGGATGTGCCAACCGTCCTGCTGCTTACCGCCATGTTGTTTTCTTTTCCTCATAGTTGGGCGCATTGATCTGTAATTGACCTGTGAACTAGAGATGCTGCGTCTCTTCATATGTGATCTTTTGTTGTGCTTGTAAAAATCGAATGAGGCAGGCCAAGTCTGCACTTCAGCTCAATTCCTCTAAACGGCTCTGCCGAGCAGTCGTGCTCTATAAACATGTTTGTTTACGGAGCATGAGGGTGGTAACTCTGGTACAGTGCAGATACAGAGTGTAGAGCACACTGACCTTCATGGGTGTTTCTTTAAGTGCTGGCACTTTTATCCGTTGGGTTGATTTTTATTATAACACATTTCATACATGAGCGTCACATTAAAACATTTTATCACGCCTTCATTTATTTTTGATACTTTTTTAATTCCTTGTATCTATTAATTTTATTTCAATCTTTACGCATAGTCAGATTTTAAATCATAAAATATACAAATCGTATTAAACTTTTTAAAACTGTGATATCCTCAACAAGGTAACATAAAGATTTAAATATTTGTTGTGTGAGAAATTATTTATATCAATTTGTGATCATTTCGTCTACTATTAACAAATTTATACCTAATAAATATGTTAAAGATAGTGAATTATTAGTGTAATTATTATTAGAATAATTAGATAGTGAAGATAGTGAAGTATTAAAGTTTAGTGTAGTGTGTTACCAAGCAGACATTAGTGTCAGTGGATCAGTGTTATTTCATTATTATTTATACACTATTGTCGTATTTAGTAATATATGAAGTTAGCTTTTATTTTCAGTATTCATTTAGTAATTTTATGTAGATTCGTCATTGTTATTCATTTTAGTTTTCATATTTAGTTTTATTTTGAGTTTAGTTTTAGTCATTTTATTTCAGTTAGTTGCCAATGCATAATTTCTAATTTTCGTTTTTCATCTAAGTTTTAAATAAGTTATTTCAGCTTTATTTCAGTTAACAAAAAATATTTTTAATAGTTTTATTTACTATCCACTCTAGTCTTGTCATAGTTATGCTTGAGATGAAATATGAGGCATGTGATGTGTGCAGAAAATCAAGCTTTTGCATTTTTCTGTCATTTAGAAATTAAGCTGTCATTTTTTCAAATTATGCAAAGAGTTGTGAAAATATGATTTGTGTGTGTAGGATGCATAAAATGCTAGCTATGAAATTATACATGGCAAGATATAGGAATCTGCTATTCTGTTCCAAAAATGTTCAAAAGGTCATTTCCTTCACAAAACGAATGGTGAAATTATGTGATGAAAGGGACATAACAATTAACATAAATGACAATCATGTGAAATTAGCAGGCAGATATTAAAGTTGTTGAGGAAACACACCTATAGTGTTTTGCTTCTGTTTTACCCCTTTCTCTTCTCAGAATGGATTTTATATCATGACTGGATGGTTTATCATCATATTTGACATACTTAATAAAACATATTCCTCAGCCAGTAATACTGCACTGAAGTTAGTCGCTCTATACTTTTAACAGGAGGGAGGGGAATAGAAAGCGAGAGATTTAGATATGAGAGAAAAGCAAGAGGGGGCACGATGGGAAGAGTGGTTGGTGGGAAAGACAGCGTGGGAACAGTTCAGCCACTGCCAACAGCTCTTCCTCCTCCTCCTCATCCTCACTCACAAACTCTGTCCCCTCCACCCACACAGTCACACCAGAGAACGAGAGAGAGATCTACAGTTACAAAGCAATTCCCCTAGAGATAAAAAAGAGAAACACACAGAAAGATGGGAAGAGATGTATCATGATCAAGAGAGAGAGAGCAGCAGCAGTCATCTTAAGAGATGGAGAGCAGGCGAGTGTGCAGGAAAAAAATAGGAGGGCGAGTGAACCAGTGAGCGAGAGAGAGAGAGAGAGAGAGAGAGAGAGGAAAACAGTGTCGCAGTCGTACAAGGCTGTGTGTTCGTCTACAGCTCGTCATTACCGACAGCTCCTCGATTAGACACTTTCTGAGGTGAAATCGGACAGGCAAGATGTTTGACTGACAGCTGTGTGAGACGCGCTCTGGATTTCAGAGTAACGGACTGATGCGGTGTCCCAGAGCTTTTAAGAAAGGTAGAACGCTGACAGATTGGATACTGAAGACCTTCAGCTCTCTGAAAGCAGCTCATTTGATAGAAATTTGCAGCTGGGCTTAATGGGTAAGCTCTGCCATGCATCCCTCCCTCTGCTCTCTGCTGTATGTGCATTGATTTTTTTTTTTTTTTTTTTTTTTTTTTTGTTGTATTTTTTTTTTTTTTTTTTTTTTGATAAGGGTAATAATTTTTTCCCTTTATTTTTAGTTCCTCCAGTTGCATTCGTGCAGCGGTTGCTTTCGTTTCTTAGCTAGGAGGATGCACCATAGATTATGTAATGCAAAGAAGATTAAAGCTCATATTTTGTTCTCTCTCTCTCTTTGTTTTTCCCTGTCATCCAGCGAGGACGTGTGCAAACATGGCTTCACGGTCATCGTGGACATGCGTGGCTCCAAATGGGATTCCATCAAGCCTCTGCTGAAGATCCTGCAGGAATCGTTTCCCTGCTGCATCCACGTCGCCCTCATCATCAAACCAGACAACTTCTGGCAAAAACAGAGGACCAACTTCGGCAGCTCCAAGTTTGAGTTTGAGGTACGGTCACCTTTCAATCTCTTACTTGTAGGGTTGTGTTGCTGGAGGTAGATGTTGACGTCGTTAGAGCTTTGCTGTCCATCACTGCATAGTGCATATTCACTTTTTTTAATGTTTTGATTATGGCATGCTATAATTAGATTGTTCTGTTAACCCGGTTGATGTGTATTAGCAGTGTTAAAATCAGTGCTTTTGGTTGTCGTCATGATATTAATTTAGAAAGAATTAAAGGCATTTCAGTGTTTGTAGATTACTAATATTGTAGATTATTCCTGCAATCCTCAGAAATATCATGTGAAATGCCTTCTCTGCTGCATTTTTTTTGTCTTTTTAATTAATAATCTGCGGGTTTGTCTGTGACATCCGATCTATTTTGGTGTGAGCATGTGAAGGCGGCTCTGGTTGTGTGGGAGTGTGTGGGTGTTGATGTTCTGTGTGTGTGTGGGTTGACTAGATTAATGTAAATGTGGATGCAGCAGAAATGCTTTTTCGGCATATTTTCTGCATTTGTTATATATTGAGCTGTCTCGATTTCAAGGTGTTGGTGCAACTTTTTTTTCGCTCACAGAGCCATCAGAGTGGAGAGCTTTTTTTTTTTTATCATGCTTGTTTTTATTTGAGTGCAGCGGTGTTTGTTTTTATTGGAGGAGAGGCTTTTGTGTGTGCATGCACAGTGAAAGAGCACGTGGAAAAAGATGATAGCTCATGTCACTTAGCTGCAGAAATTTCCAGTGCAGGAGAATAATGTTTTAGATAAATTTGATAATTAGTTTCTTAAGCCACCATGAATAAAACATGATTACGCAAATATGTGATAAAGACCAATCGGGATCTGGTATGTTACAGTGACATCATCACTGACAGTTACGCGTCATGTCGGAATTACCGTAATTAAAAAAAAAAAAAAAAAACTCTGAGATTCTGCTCTGAGCTTCACGTCACATCCTTGGACTTGTTTCTATGGCAATGTCCATAACACCAAAAAGATCAATGTGCGGCTGCTGTGATGTGAATGACAGTAAATTCTTCACTACATCAGTTCTGCTCTATTTTCTCATGTGAAATATTGAAGAAAAAATAAAGGGCACCAGGTAATAGTGTTTGTAACAGTATATAAACCAGAAATATGAAGAGGTAGCCAAAGAACGGCGTGGCAGAGTCTTAACTTTGATAAAGAATATCTCTTTGGTTTTGAGACTTTAGTCTTTGCAACTTCAGGGATCTTATCTATGCACAATCAGCTTGTAACACTCCAAAGAGAAAGGAAAACTTGAAATCGCATCATATGACCCCTTTAACTAATGAAGCTGCTGCCATTTAAGACTCCATGACAGTCAAATAGGAGAAGTCGGAGCTTTCCAGTACAAGGAATTAGAATTTTTTTGACGTAATATGAATTCAAAAAGCCTTATTCACAATGACAGTGGTTTATTCCAGTTCCTGTTGCTAGCTGGCCTATTGGTATTAATGGGCTGCACATATATGATCACAAATGGGATCCATTGCTGGTAAATCTAAGATGTCAACCAGTTTTGGACAGTAATTCCATTTTCTTTCTGCTGAATACTGAACATTCTGTTTGCATGTTAACTGCATCATATAATGAACAAGCTACGCTATCTTTACTCCCATTGGTAGCTGCCGCATCACTTTACTGCTCAATTGCATAAAGGTAAAAAAGGTTTCTCAGCTTTGCTGAGTTGTTGAGCAAGTGATTCACCAGCATCAATAGCGATTGTTGTCCATAAACATCATTAACTCTCATTGAAAATGAATAATTTCCAGGTATTTTATCACTGCCTTAGTGAACACCTTGTAAAGTCAGTTGAAATTTTCAGACTTAAATCTAAAATGCCTTAAATAATAAAAGTTTAGTAAAGTGTTGTTGTAATTAACTCATTAAAATCATTTAGTTAAATGTATAAATATAAGATGCAAAATATCATGTTGCCTCTGCAACTAACTGAAATAAAATGAGCTTAAGATTAATTCACAAAATGGAAGTGTAAACTTAAAATATAAAAAAAGCGTAATTTATAAAAAAATATTAATAAATACTATAGTATAAATGTAATAAATTAATATAATTTAAGCATTAATATAATAGATAATATTAAATAACATTGTATCAGAAAGGCTCGGAGGAAGTGAGATTTACTTTGGCCAATCACAGGTCAGCATGCTCTTGTCAGTCGCACAATTGATATTCCTCAATTTGCCCTATTTGGCCGCTTTTCTTCCCTCACAATACTGTGATATTGTGCATGAATTGTAGTGGGAGGATCAGAAGCACTCCTACCATCTGGTGGTCCATGTAAGTCCAAACAAGTGTTGAGCACAGCACATGATGAAATGTTTCTGGTGGGCAGGGTCAGGGAATTTGTCATAGGAACGGCTGCAAGCTCTCATCTCGCCCACTGCTCATGACATGCCACATTTCTCATAATTTCTGAATAACAAAATATGAGCAGAAGGCAAAAAAAGCAAATGCAGTCCATAACTCACATTATTCTCATTGCAGTTAATGGACTAATGGGCAGCGTGCTCATGTTGATGTGTGTCTGTGAAAGGCTGCAGATGCCTGTATGACAGCAGGACTTGAATTGATGAATAGGTTTAGACCGCATTTACCTTGAATTCACAAAAGAGGCACACACCTCCGCTCTCTCCTCTTTCACGGCTTTGATTAAACCCACTCGTGCACATTTGTTTTCTTTTGTTCTGTCCTCCCATCTATTCATTTGTAGAAAGAATAACACACAATTTTTTTAGTTCTCTTGGAGCACACAAACAAAATGTGGTCAAGAAATAAAGAATGGAAGAGTGGAATTTTTTGACTCTGTCTTAATTTTGAAACACACTTGTGCTCATATCAGTATTAACTAAATCTAAAATCTAATCTAATCTGAAAATATTGCCGAAATAGAATGTTTAAATTGAAGTACTAATATTACTAAAATAAAGAAAAAACTACGAAATACGTCAGTATATCATCATAAACACAGCCATTTTTTTGTCTTAAGTGAACGTAAACAGATGAGAAAGAAAACGCATGTGTAACAGTATTTTTAGACCTGTGTGTGTTCGGTGTTAAAGAGACAGCCGTCTAATAAACGTGCTGCCTATCATTAATGTTAATCAAAGAACAAAAGAAAATAATTAACTGACTGAATATCTTTCGTAACTTTAATGAGGATTAATCAATATTTTATTTATGAAAAGAAAACTATACAGTGTTTTTAAACTTTTGATTTCAATTTCTGTACCTGACATTTGTTCAGTTTTATTTATTTATGCTATTGCTAATTAATTTGTTTACTTGTCTTTAACAATTTAATGTTTGAAATTTATATTAGTTGTTTTTTTCTGTGGTATTTTTTTGATAAAACCATAGACATAAACCGAATAAATATGTTTGACATCTAAATATTTGACTTAAAATTTGTTTAATGGATTTTTTTATCTTATTGGAATCGAAATTAGGAATCGATAAGAATCGGAATCGATAAGCAGAGTCGGAACCGGAATCGAAATCGATAAAATTAAAACGATACCCAACCCTACCAATTATGCTCTTTTACAAAGTATTGATTTTGTTTTGGGGGTGTACTAGAACAGGCTCTCATACTAGGTTGTTCAAAAAAACATTATTTTTCACATATTTTACATTATTACAACACCTCTCTCCTCAGTCTGGCATGAACGGCTCGAATAGTTCCTGTATCAAATGTAACCACTCTAAGTTTGTCTGCCTTGGGAAAGCTAGCGTGTCTCCGACATAGTGATAACACTTGTTGCCTTCTCTAGTGCAGCTCACGATTTAAACCCGGATGATTGTAACCACTCTAAGTTCGTCTGCCTTGGGAAAGCTAGCGTGTCTGCGACATAGTGATAACACTTGTTGCCTTCTCTAGTGCAGCTCAACCAGGTCTCGTCCCATTCGTCGCTATTTGTGATATCACAAAACCCGGAAAATATGTGTTGTAGTCCAAACGGGTCGTTTGTTGTAGTTTTTGAAAAGTGATTTCTGTTAAATAAAATATCTCCTTTTGAAGTGGACTTTGAGCTTTGTTACTTTGCAGATCTTTTTTATGCTCAAATAGCAACATTACAGACTAACTAAAGTCGAAAAAGTGAAAAAGCATAATAGGACCCCTTTAAAAAAGAAAGAAAGCTACTAAAATGTGTAATAATTGTTAAATATGTAAAAATGTAAACAGGGCAGTCATATTTTATCAAATATTTGTCATTAATCAATGCTAATACTGAAAAATTTTACAAACAGGCTGCTGACAGGAAATTTTATAGATTTCTGCTGCATTAAGGCCCGTTCACACAAATGATGGAAGGGACAATATCATAGTATTCACTTACAGAACCATTTTATCCAGCTGACGAACAATAAAAACATTGGCAGCCAATCAGAATCCACTCGACTTGAGCAATTAATGAGGCAGATGGCGTAACTGCAGCATGTGCTTATAATAAACAGAACATTATTGTGCAATAATGTGGACCAACGTGGAATCTCATTGGTTGAAAACAACATTGATATTAAACATCAGATATGTTCTGATTGGATATGGTTGTTATGCCACAGTTTCACTTTTAGCATGAATTTGTCGCTAGACACTTGACGCATGCTTGGAGCATAGCGAAAGCCAAAGTTGATTATTTTAACGATTTTACCAATTTGGTATGCATGCATATACAGTTGTATACAGATTACCCGAGGCTCTTTCCTGCTTCAGGTAGTTCAGAGCTGGTTTGTGTTACTGCGGTGCTGGTGGTGACGATATCGCCCTTTCTGACACCCTCAGGCTTCATGCTGGGAGTCTGTCTTGTCTCTAGGTAGTTTGGACCTCAGGCGGTCCCTGAGTGCCTGTATGAAATTAGATTTATGCCCCCGGTTAAAAATAGCAGTCCCACCTTGCTGGTCATTAACGGAGCCTGGAACGGCTGCATCAATTGATGTAGGATTTAGGGCATTAGAAGTCATATTGTGCATTCTAGTACTGTGCATATTGATTAATTTTCATATTCCACCCACATCCTTTCTCTCTACCCTTACTGTCCTTTTCTGGTTCCTTCCATTCCTCCATCACACCCACCTTCAGACCGCCATGGTTTCCCTGGAGGGCTTGTCTAAGGTGGTGGACCCATCCCAGTTGACGGCCGACTTCGAGGGCAGCCTGGACTACAACCACGAAGAGTGGATTGAGATCCGCGTGGCCTTCGAAGACTTCACAGGCAACGGTCGGCACCTGCTCGCCCGTCTGGAGGAGATGCAAGAAACGGTCACACGTAAAGACTTCCCGCAGGACTTAGAGGGAGCCCGGCGCATGATAGAGGAGCACGCAGCCCTGAAGAAGAGGGTGATGAAGGCTCCTGTGGAGGAGGTGGACAGTGAGGGCCAGAGGCTGCTGCAAAGGATTCAAAGCAGCGAGAGCTACGCTAACCGAACTGTGCCAGTCCTGCCAGGGCAGAGGGAAGGACAGGGACAACCCAACGCTGACACCCAGGGCCTGGTGCCCCGTATTTCAGCCCTACTGGAAAAACTGCACAGCACCAGGCAGAACCTGCATCAGGCCTGGCAAATCCGCAAGCTGCAGTTGGACCAGTGCTTCCAACTCAGGCTTTTCGAGCAGGATGCTGAAAAGGTGAGATCCACACATGCATACCTGTATAGACGCAAAACTTTTTATATAGAGGTAAATCCATACACAGGAATTACTTTGTTGATGAATAACTTTTATTTTCTTTTATTCCATTTTTTCTTTTTTTTAAATTTAATTTTCTTTTTTTATATTTTATTTTATTCCATTATTTTATTATTATTATTTTCATTGATTTTATTTTATTTTATTTTTTTATTTCATTCTATTTTGTATTTTATTTTATTTATTTATTTATTTATTTTATTTTGGGATTTGGTCAAGTGGAAATTTGATGTTATGCAGCAAGTTGATACAGCTAACTTGTGTAGAGTGCAGAATATGCTTTAAATCAGTGGTTCTTAACCTTAAAGGTTCCCTGTTGTTAAACACAGTTTTCCAACCTCCTCGCCATTTAGTATATTATTTATGTATTTATGACAAAGCTGCTTGTTTTTATTAAACTTGCTTTATTAACAGAAACTGGAAACTGGTATTGATATATTAAGTGAATTAACCATAATTCATTTTGTGATCCAGATGTTTTAACAGCTATATGTTCTAATAGGCCAAAAAGGACATTATTTCATATTAAATCTTGAATTATTTATTTTACTGTTTTCATTTAAATAATAATTTATTAATTGAAATACTTTTAAGTCATCCTGAGTCCCCTTTGGAAGTTTATTGGGGCCCTGGCCCCCTGGTTGAGAACTTTTGCTCTAAATTGAAGCAAACCTTGTGTTTTCATTCTATCTGGATCTGCGCACATATTTACAAGTTCTCACTAATTCGTCTCAATGTTTCTCATAGTGGGTGGAAGATTTGCATGTTGCTAGGAAACCAGCAGCTATTATTTGCTCCTGAGAAACGGGTCATTTTTATGATTTTCTATTTTTACTCATTTCAGCTGTATGAACACAACGATGCATGTGCCAAAACATTCACCCAATGGGATATCTTGCATTACACACATACATACACTTAACCTGCTTCTAGTCAAAGGTGTGCCTGACGTGTGTGTGTGTGTGATTGCTGTGTCTCTGCAGATGTTTGACTGGATAATGCACAACAAAGGGCTGTTTCTGGCTGGATACACTGAGATCGGCAACAACCACCCCCACGCCATGGAGCTGCAGACCCAGCACAACCACTTCGCCATGAACTGCATGGTAAGATTTCAACTAGAATTTTCCTACAAAAGATAAAAAATGCCACTGCATCACTACATGTATCCTGTAATGCCCCCACAGCATTTCTTTTACTAACCGACCAAACTTGTTTTTTTCTTCCATTTAAGCAGTGTAATGGCGTAATGGTTTTAGTTTTTACAGTGTAAGCGCCGATTCTTTATTCAGTGATGGTGACTCATCGTATAATCAGAGATGGAGCATAGAGCATGATCCACCTAAGTGCTTCCTGTTTGGGTGGCTGCCCACCAGCTGTGGGTCCTGTTAGGGGCATCCTTTAAAAAGCCCCATTACTGTAGAGAGAAGTATTGATCACTTCCTGTTTAAAGAGGCAGAAAGAGGATGTAGGCATATTGAGCTCTGACAAGTCTAAAAGTTTAATGATAGCATTAATTTACTTTTTATGTTATAAGCCATTATAAAGTATTTTCAGGAACCTTGTGGTTAATGTTTCATCACTGATTTTTTTTTCCTCATATCAGTACCTTTCAAAAGTTTGAGGTCTGTAGGATATTTGTTTCTTTAAAAGGAGCCTCTAATGCTCTTCAAGGTTGCATTTATTTTATTAAAAGAACAGTTAAACGATAATATTGTGGAATATTATTACAATTTAAAACAACTGTTTTTAAAATGCAATTTATTCCTGTAATAATAAAGCTGAAATTTCTGCAGTCCAGTCTTCAGTGTCACATGATCTTTCAGAAATCATTCTAATATGCTGATTTGGTGCTCAAGAAACATTTCTTATTATTATCAATGTTGAAAACAGTTGTGCTGCTTCATTTTTTTTTGTGGAAACCATGATGTTTCTGCCACTTTTGCCTTTATGGTCACTGGCTGAATTGAAGTATTAATTTCTTTAAAAAAAAATCTTACAGACCCAAGCTTTTAACTGGTAGAGTTTCTTTAAAGTCCCCATGTCACTTTATTAATAATAAGGGTTACTTGAGAGAAAACAGAGACAAGGAAACAAATGCACGTTCATTTTCAATGAGCAGTTTTTGTTCATGTTCAGACTTATGTTGTGCTTTATTGATCAGAAAGTAATCAGACTTGCACACTACTGATCTTCTCCTGATGGTTGACTTGCATATTAAACAGATTGGAATCTGCTGGGATGTATAGTGTTGTCCTCTAATAGCAGTGTTAAGTGAACAATCCATTCTGAAGCAGTTTTCAAAATGTGATATTGTGAAAGGACATCAGTTTGAATTAGTGTTGCACTGATGATAAATCTCTGGTTGATACTATGAAGTTTTATGTTATAGCCAATAAACAATAAATGGCTAATATTAAAATTCTATACTAAAAACTTTAATCATTTTGTTTTGACATTGTGTTTGGTAGTAATATTTTCCGTCTCCCGCAGAATGTTTACGTAAACATAAACCGCATCATGTCGGTGGGGAACCGTCTGCTGGAGGCGGGCCACTATGCGTCCCAGCAGATCAAACAGATCTCAGGTCAGCTGGAGCAGGAGTGGAAAGCCTTTGCTGCTGCGCTGGATGAGAGGAGCGCCCTGCTGGAGATGTCTGCTACTTTCCACCAGAAATGCGACCAGGTTAGAGAGAACGCTTGCAACATCTTTTCTTAATGAAAACTGATACCAATGAGCGCTCAGCAGAGAGACCAGTGTATATGTGTGAGAGTTTTCATGATTAATTCTGGAGCAAGAGAAAAGAGGAATGGATTTCACATGCTGTTAAAAGTGAGTGATAATCAGACTTAGGCTTTGATTCGTTTAGAATAACAAATGAATCATCAGCAAGATAATTTCAGAAAAGAGAACGCAAGATCTGTCTTAAGACCTCGTGAACTGCCTGCCACCTACATAGGCAGCTGCCTTCTAAGGTCTTGAAACCTCGTGAGTGGTTTCTCATAAGGCTTTAAATAGATGACAGCTTAATACGCAAACTTACAACTGATTTTGAAGGAGTTTGATGGTAGCATGTTGCTAAGCTAACAACACAATACTCTAATAAGCTTAAAATACACAAATATTGAGTGAAAAACAATTATTCTGAGCAGTTTTATAGATGTTTTTAATAATCAAATTTATTTCTTTACTAAGCCCTTTATTTGGATTGTCAATTCACTAGTCCTTCATGAAAGTGAAATAACACTCATTTAAAGAGGTCATATGACGTTGCTAAAAATAACATTATGTTGTGTATTTGGTGTAATGCAATGTGTTTATGCAGTTTAAGGTTAAAAAAACACATTATTTTCCATATAATGTACATTATTGTTTCTCCTCTATGCCCCGCCTTTCTGAAACGCGTCGATTTTTACAAAGCTCATCGGTCTGAAAAAGCGAGGTGTGCTGTGATTGGCCAGCTATCCAGTGCGTTGTGATTGGCCGAATACCTCAAGCGTGTGACGGAAATGTTACGCCCCTTAACGTACTGTGATGCCGTCTCCCAGCTGGAGGAGACAAAACCAATAAAACCCATTACTAATGAGGCATTTGTTGCATCCAGTGGGGACATAATTACTG